TCTCTCTCTCTCTTCTTTGCACTTTTGCATGAGAATGTAAGTGAACTCCTACGCTACGGCTGAGAGATGTACAATGCCCCAGTGTTAAAGCAGAGAAAGAAAAAGCACACCCACTGAGTTTCAGCAGCAGCTCTCAACACAACAACACAAAGTCAACAACCCTCGAACACAGACACAACACACACACACACACACACACACACACACACACACACACACACACACACACACACACACATCCAAGCCTGACTGAAGCTTTGAATCAGTGAAGAGAAATCAGAGTCGTGACTGATTTCGAATTCCTGAACAACACACACAAACACACACTCACACACAGACACACACACACACACACACACACACAAACACACACGCACACACACACACACACACACTTATCTATCTATCTATCTATCTATCTATCTATCTATCTATCTATCTATCTATCTGTCTGTCTGTCCGTCCGTCTGTCTATCTGTGTGTCTCTCAGTCCATCCATCCACCCATCCATCCATCTGTGTGTCTATATATCTCTATCTGTAGGTCTTTATCTATGTCTGTCTGTCTGTCTGTCTGTCTATCTATCTATCTATCTATCTATCTGTATGTCAGTCTGTCTGTCTGTCTATCTGTCTACTATGTCAGCCTTCAAAAGAGATTAAAACGCTTTTTTTCATTAATCTGAGTTGCATTGGAGGATCTGCCTTCTGCCTGAAGTGCTCTTACCTTCGACAGCCGCCTAATTATGATGAAGTGTGGAGCTTTATGAAAAGCTGAGGCTTACATGATTGCTTAAACTGCGGTTGCTCATTAGGGCACTTCTCTTCTCTTTGTGCTCATACTCATTTGGACACCTTTGAGTTTCTCTTAATGTTCAGACTGCTGGTTTGCATGTTTGGCTCAAAGCACTAATGATTCAATAAAGCATTTAGAGCTGCTCTAGCTAAGTGCAGCCGAAAGATAAAGCAATTAAAATAAAAAAGAAAAAAAGTGAAGGAAAAGTGGTTACTTCAGATGAGAAAAATACAGCTCTAGTTGATGCTTTCAGGGACAATTTTGGTAGATAATCTCCTGCTGCATTTGTCTTGTCAACCATATTTGTTTGGCATGAACTGGGGTTTGTACTGACATGTTCACACTGTGATGTGTGAATTTGGTCATCGGTACATGTTTTAGTGACAGTATGGTTATGAACAAGAGCCACAATCACGTCAAAGGAACACGCCAGCATTTATCAACCTGATCTTTATCCGCATCTGTATCATACAGTCGATTAGCCAACAGGTCTTTAGTCTATCTATGAATTCAGATCTGCATTCCATAACAGTCACCTTATATATATTTCTGGGTTGCTACTGTTATCGCGTACTGTAAGCAGGTAACTCCATTTCCAGTCTAACCAAAACAAATGCTGCAGTTAACCTTTAAGGCATTTTGTTGTGTCCCTCAGTGCCACAACTCAGTGCGTGCAAATACATTCACTGTTATAAGAAAACTTGCAAACATGTTCTAAGATTGGACTCTGAATAGAAACAATAAAAATGTTATAACTATGTAATAATTGTGTAATAAATGTATAATACATCGAAAAAGGCACAATGTAACAGCATTACTGAGCATTAGAGCTTTTGGTACAATGCGAGTTATACTGTTATAATATAAATGACTGGAGAAACACTTGTTTTATACACAAACACACACACACACACACACACACACACACACACACATATGCGCATGTGTATGTACACTGTTAGAATTAAAGGTGCTTGGTGAATGCAAAACAGGCACGTTTTGCATTCACCAAGGTAAAACAATGTAAATGTATCCTCAAAGGTACAACAGTGGTTTTAAGGTCAGATACATATTTAAGTACATATTTGTATCTTTTCATAACCAAATGCTTTAAAACAGACTCAGAAAATACAATTTCAATGGAATATGGCACGATTATGTTCCCTGACTATTGAGATGTACCCTTAAGGGTCCCACCCCAGTGACAACAGAGGTACTGCCCCAGTGACAGTTTTATACATTAATATATATCGATTCTTAGATGCATCGTGATGCAGACATGGATGATTCCGAATCAATTTACAAATGTCAAAAATCACACACACACACATCATCTAAACCGCTTATGCTTCTGGGTCACAGTGGGGTGCTGGAGCCTATCCCAGCTGTCATTGGGCGGAAGGCATGATACACCCTGGATAGGTAAATGTTAAAATGTTAAAAATCGATTCTCTAAATTTTAATTTATAACGCAATGTTGACGGAACGCAAAAGGCGGAACTTGGAAGTGTGGAGCTGCAGCGCCCAGACACTCTGTGATGTGCACATAACATAAACACAGTTGGATGAGCGAGAAATCCGACCGGCACCCTCTGCATTAAAAGCTAGGTTAGGTCAGGAGTCACAACCCAAATGTTAAGAAGAGACATTTTGTCCTTTCAACAAAAATCTTTCCTCCCATCTCCGCCAGAAAACTTTCTTCAAAAGTAGATCAGTTTCTTGTAAAACGTCTCTCGACGTTCGACTGTTTTACGAAGCTGAAGTCGCTTCTTAATCGCCAGCTTCTTGTTCGAATCTCCCCGTTCCACCTTAAATTCTGCCTGAGGCACCAGAATGTAAATGCGGCACTATTTAAGGTGGAATGGGACAATTCAAACGAGAAGCTGACTTCAGCTTTGCGACTTTCTTGTGTTTGACAGTCTCTCGTTGCAGATTTAACGTACCAGGAAACCAACTATAGTGCTTATAAATGCGAATAAGTCCATTTGTCTCCAAATGTTCGTCTTAAATTTCTCTCTTTGCCTTTTCGTTAACAACTAGCTTGGCAAGATTGCCTGAATTGCTATGTGACCTGCACGCCAACCTTCAGGGTTAACGTTATAGGGTGGTGAATTAGCAGCGTTTAAGACCATCTATTGCCAAAACAGTGTTAGAACAATCACCAGAGCTTTATTTTACTGCAAAGGAGGATTATTTTATTTTCATCAGGACAGTAAAGGAGCCGACCCCTGAACTAGTGCATGAAAGCACTTTGGCTTCTATGAAGTTGAAGGGAAAAAAGAACCTGGATGAGAGCCACACTACATGCAAGTTGTATCACAGTAAACTAAAATATTTTGGAAACGACAAACATGAGAAACCATATTACATGTTTCCACCTGTTTTCCGTCGGGTTGTACTTGCTGCCAACCAGAGGACCATCGAGCAAGTGATGTCAAAGCTTCCACCCAACTCGGAAAGAACGAAGCGAACTACAAACTCTATCGCAACTTTTAGTGCCAAGGATTTGCGCCCATTCTCAGTCATTGAGAACCAGGGCTTTTGTGCTCTGTTGCACACTTTGGAGCTGAGATACGTCCTGCATCAGATATTTTACTGACACAGCGATCACCCCACTCTCTACAACAAGACCAAAACTTAAGTTATGAAATCACTGAATAAAACGGTTAGGACGGCTGTAACGTGCTGCGTGGACACCCATTGCCACAGAATCTTATTTCACTGTAACTGCGCATTTTATCGCAGATGAGTGGCAGCCTGTGTGTCATGTGCTCCAAACAAGAGCAGTGAATGAGAGTCTTCCAGTTCACTTGCCACATCACTTCCATTTGTTTTATTAATAAAACATATTGGAAGTAAATTCATTATGGATCATTACAGGTACTTTGCTTTAAAACTACCAAGTCCTCACACAGTGAGAAAAAAGAAATCCTGTATAGAAAAAAAAGATGCATCGACAATCGTTTTATAATCACATCGCAGCCCTCTGAATCGTAATCGAATCAAATCGTGAGGTGCCTAGAGATTCCCACCCCTAATGTGAATATATACGTATACACATATATTCAAAATGAATGTAAATAAATATTTGAATAGTTAGAGGCCCTAAACAACATACTATTTGGGGGCCCCCACCCACATCTATTATATTATTTTGTATGTGACAATGAAAACTAATTAATACTGTTAGTAATGATATATATATATATATATATATATCATTCATATATTAATTTGCTCAGGAAAAATATAATAAATTTTACAGCAAAACAATAGAAAAAATATAATCTTAAAAAACCATACATTGGATGTGTCAGTAAAGTAAATAAATGTTAAACAAAATAAAATAAAAAAAATTACATTAAATGTGTTTCAGTGTCACGTATTACACTCTTAAAATTGTAGTGTTTTTTGATTTTTTGGAAGCAAAGTCCTGATGTCTTCATGAGATTTCGTTCTGCTAATATCATGAAGACTGACACAGATGATATTAAAAATATTAAAAATACATATATTTCATCATGTGTATTAAATACATGCATTAATACATACTTCTAGTATCTCAGCAGCCTGTATGTACCATTTAGAGCAAGAAACAACCCTGTATGTGAAAAAGACATGATGTATATATATATATATAATACCAGCAGCAAAACAGATTCATGCCACTTTCCTCCACTTAAAGCAAAAAGAGTTTTTCAGACTGATCTCTAACTGTCTTTTCGCAAAAGTGTCGAATGTTTATTATTTGTATTTATGCACTTTATTTTCGCCTTTATGCATTCAAGCAATACACTTTTAAAACACAGAGTTGATCTGTCAGGCGAGTGAATACAAACAGAACACAAAAGCTTTACAAACACATGATTGTCTGTGGCCATTCAAAGCCTGTAAAAAGCTGTAATAACTCTAATGGAGCAGCCTGTATGCTTTTACACTCAACATGCATTAAAGTGATATTCCAAACACACCTGACACAGAAGTCAATGGGCAGTTACTGAAGAAACCTGAGCTACAACAACATAGTCCAGCTGAGGTAAATACCCATTGACTTCTATTTTAAGCGTGTTTCGAGTCATTTGGTCTTCTGTTCCTTTTTAAGCACAGGAAAGCTGTAGATAGAGACACAGAGATCATCTTGAAAAAAAGCTGTACAGCGGTGAAGGTTGAGACAGGTCAGAGAGATTAGTAGGGTTAGTACTCACGGGTGCCGTCAAAGCGCTTTGCGATGGTGTCCAAGAAGGTGTTCTGAGGGGCCAGAAGCCCCTTCATGACAGGCATGGCTGCTAGCAAGTCCTGCAGCAAGTATCACTCCATTCCAAAGAAAGAAGGAGTCGGAGAAGAGTGAAGGAGAGAAAAGTGAGGGAAAGAGAGTGAAATAGGAAAATAGAAGAGGAGAAAGAAATGGAGTGAAAGAGGAAGAAAGAGATGCAGTAAAGTGGTTAATGGAATGGCTCTGAAAAGCGTCCCCCTTGGTGGTTGATTGCTAATCGTTAGCAGCTCAGGATCAGGGCAGTCCAGTCGCCTCCAAGGCGATCACTTCATTCCCTCCTAATTACTCTCAGAGGACACGGTCTGAGATTAATCTCAGGCTCAAAGAGTGTACGAGGCTTTGGAAACTGTTGATGTTGTCCACTTGGGTCCTTATAGTTAGTGCAGTTAGCGCTCTTTTCTTCAAATGCAGCCACTGATGAAGCTCCACGGTGGTGAAAACAGGATCTCTGAAGACTGAAGTATATGTCCGTGCTTTCAGCATGTCCTCAGACCCCAGTGCTTCACTCTGAATGCTCTTGTTGTCGCTCTGTCTTTGTAGATGTTCTCAGCTCTTGCCGCACTTCAGCTTTTCCAGTAAGCTCTTTTAGCCTGTTCCTTTTCCTATTTTTCCTTGTCCTTGTCCTTTCTTCTGCTTCCAGTCTCCTCCTGTCCTTAGAAATGTGCTTCTACGTCTACTCTTCTGATTATAAGCTGTTTTAGATGGAAGTTTCTCCTTTATTTCCTCTTCTCAGCTTGAATATGAAGCCTCCTCCAGCTCTCACTGCAGCAGGTGCCCAATCAGCATCTCTCCAGTGTTCAGCGTCTACCTCCCACTTACTCTCTTCTAGCACTCTCTCTCTCCCTCCCTCTCTTTCTCTGTCTCTCTCTTCACTCACTCCCTTTATCTCTCTTTCTTTCATTCTCTTTCTATTTCTTTATCTTTTTTCCCTTTCTTTCTTTTTCTTGCTCTCTCTTTTATGCTCACTTGCTCTTTCTCCTCTTTTTTATCACTTTCTCCCTTTCTTTCTTGTTCTTATTTTACACTATTGCTCCCTCACCCTCCCTTCTTTTTACCTTTCTTTCTCCTCTCCTCTTTTTTACTCTCCCTCACTCTTTCCCTGCTTCACTCTCTCTTTCTCTGTCTTATGCTTTCTGTCTTTTTTACTCTCTAACTTTCTCTCCCTTACTGTCTCTTTCTTTCCCTTTCTCTCTCGCTTGTTTTTTCACTCTATCTCTGACTCTCTTTCTTGTCTTTCTTTCTATTCTTCTTGTTTCCCTCACTCTCTCATCCTCTTTCTTAATCTCTTTTCTCTGTTTCTCTTTCCCTTTCCCCCTCTTCCTTTCTCTCACATACACAGATGTTAACATGCTCTCTTCGTCTGCATCTTTCTTTTTGTGCCTCTCATTTCTCTCTTCCCTCAGTCAGTGGTCAGCTCTCTTTCTCCTGACAAAAACATTCCTGGATTTTGCATAAAATCTCTTTACTAAAGCAGCACATTGTCATATTTCCTCTTAAATCAGTATAAAGAGCACCACTAACAGAGTAAAGACACTGCTGTCATTTAGTGTTTAAGAATAAACTTCACAAAAACATCAAATTTAGAGCTATACAACGTGCCAGCCTGCTAGACTTGAAAACAACACTAATAAGAAAATGATCAATTAGAGCTAATTACAACCTGAGTTTTTGTCTTTGCTGATTCTGTTGAGAAAGGGGTCTTCATACGTATATAACTTTTAGTTACAGTGCAGAAGTGAGACCACCTTCTTTCATTTCATTTCCATACAAAATATTAAGTACAAGCCATTAAGTACAAGTTACTCATTTGGAGATGTTTCTGAGGAGATCAGAGGTAAGATAATCAACTTGTTTAATGAAGGAGAAACTCAAATGAAATGTAGTAAATGTAGTAAAATTACATTTTATATAAAATATACACATTATCAAAGTCCTGGTAGACACCAAAACTGTCATCAGATAAACAGCACTTAAAGCTTTCGTCTCTGAGAGAGGAGACAATCTGAAAAAATCCACAGGTGTTTCTGTCCCTCCTTCCACTGTGAGAAGACAACTCAACACTATGTGTCTGAAAGGACGTGTAGCTGTCAAAAGCTCTTACTGAGAAAATGGATTTGCAAAGAAGAACATTTGCAAATCAAACAAAGAAGCTGCTGGTGTTCTCAGAATAATGGACAGACCACCCCAAAGTCCAGTCCTCACTGAATGTGTAATTGAGATTACTTTGATCATGAGAAGCAAAAAATGCAACCAACTTTTAAGACTGAACTTTGGATCAGTGTATAGAGCAGTGTTGGAGAGTTAGGTAGTAAAGCAGAATCAAAGAACAAAAGTAAAATATAAAAGTCCTGCAGCTGACAAAAAGCTGTACTGACACACAGTGCAGAATGTAGTCTTCAGAATTTTATTATGTCCTGTGGATATTGCAGCTCCTCTGTACAGTATAATACATCTCTGCCATCTTGTGGCCACACAGAATATCACACAAGAACACAGCCTACACAGACAGCAAGCAAGAGGGAATTTAGGGTAATAACAAACAACAAAACAAACAAATATACAGAAAAACTATCATATTTTGACATTAGAAAGTACATTTTCATATTTTTGACAACAATAATGACATTTTTACAATGTAAAGTACATTAATTCTATTCTATTTTATTCATAAACAGATATCAATGGAGAATTAAAGGAACAGTCCAGCATCTCAAAAACCTCTTTATTCATAGTTGTGAACTATGTGGTCATAAAGTAAGACACAGTGGAAAAATCACCCCCTCCTCCTCTATCGGCCTCCATGGGACACAGAACTGCACTTCGTTTTTTTGAGGTTCAAATTGGTTTGATTTAAACCTCAAACTATAACCAGAATCATAAACCCAACTGTAACCATAAAAATGGTTAAACAACATCACACCCTTGGGTTACTGTGCGTAAAATCAACTATTACTTAAAGTATTAAAACACGTCCACTAGATATTTTTGGGCAAAACGTTTATGTGGACCTACTAGCTACATATTCTACTCATATTCTGCTTGCCCTGGTTTCATGTACCTGCATTCTTTTGCCTGCAAGAGTTTGTAGACTCACAGAAAGGCATCACTACCAACAACATTCAGATAAGCACAGAGAAGTAAAATAGTCCTAGGTGAGTTGTTCGATTACTAGTTATAATAAGATGATGAAATTTTGTATTAGAATACATTGCTGCATCAGCCCACACTCTTCGAGACAGGGGTTCTTCAAAGGTTCTTTGTTGTAAGTAATGGTTATACAGTTTTAGTGCACAATTTTAGTGCACAATTACCATTTATTTGTGGGGTTCATACTGGAAAAAAAGAAAAATAAAATATAATATCTCTGCACAGGCCACATTTTATGCGTGATTTTTTTCCCAATATGTTACATTCAGCAAATAAACAGTAATTGTGTATTAAAATGTGCAGAAGTGTGTTCTCTTTTACTTAGAAAATCAACAAAACCTGTCATTTGACCATTGGCCTAAACTTTTGCACACTACTGTATTTGAAACAATGAGAAATCAGGCAAGCATTTGAATGCTTCAATGGCTTTTATGGATCTTCTCTATCATGATGAGCCAGATTCTTAAAGAAGCATTAAAAATTGGTACTACATAGCACCAAAAAGGGTTCCACTATTGTTACAAGTCATGGAACCTTTTATTGGTATTATATAGAGCCATTTTTGCTAAGAGTGTAGTTACTAAAATTCATTTTGCTAGTTCATCCTATGAGACTCCAGCAGATTATGAGAGATCATTTTTAGGTTAGGATACTGTCATGACAAACCTTCTAAGTATATTTCTTTGTAGGTTTGTTTGCTTGGTTAAGTTGGTTTTTACATCATTTGAAAATGTCAGCAGCTCTTCATATTGTGTGAACATTTCATGATGAATGGACCAATAAAAATGATCCAAAATGACCTGGAATAAAATCTCGTTACATTGTTACATATATAAGTTTACTTCTTCCTTCCTTCTGTAAAGATGTGGAGGTTTTATTATGACAGTGACGCTTTCTCCTACTGAATTAAACCATCTTAAAATGGTCAAAAGTGGCCAAAAAAGTTTCCTTCCTTCGCTCTAATGTGCTGGTCAGTACAGATACAATCAAACAGTTTGAGCAACATCAGATCATCAGTGGAACAAAAACATGGTCCACTGCAGTGCCGTTCAGTATAATCTTTTACTTACATGCTTTTTAGCATTAACTGATTTAATGAAATTCTTTAGTGGACATAAATAACACTGGGTAAATCAACATATTTGATAAAACCTTTTTAACTCTTTGAAAGTTACTGAAAACGTGTGTTTCTTAGATCCTGCTGAGGTTGATAGCTTTCTTTTCTAAATGATGAACACTAAAGCACCTTGCGTGCTAACAGTGTGGAGAAACTTTAGCCTGCCCAATGGCAGTTTCAAAGTAGAGGTCTGTGACTGTTTTTTCAGTCCTGCTCCCGCCCGCTCCCACAGAAAATTGGAATCATTTGTCTCGTTTCCGCCCATGCAGTACCGTCAAGGCGAAGGGACAACCAATTTTTTTTACTATAAATGTGAAACTGAAGGTCATTTTCCATCATATCTTACTTTAGAAGCTCACATTTCACAAAAACATCACTATAAACTAACAAAACATTGAAAAGTGAAAAGTGATGTGCTTGTAATGTTGGACTATCCCTTTAATGATGAATAGCTAGTCTAGTGCATTGTGTCAGGTCTGTTAAAGCTCTGCTGCTTACAGGGCTGAAGGCCTCACTCAGTTTACTCTCAGTAAACTCATCGTCTGTAAGAGTCCCTGACCTCAGACTGCTGCATCAGATACTTCAATGGTCTCTCCAGGTCGAGTTTAACAGGTGAGTGGACGGTACTGATCTCGCTGTCGCGTGAGGGAGTGCGCCCTTCGCCCTCTTCGTTTCTCCGGCCCATGGTGAGGATGCCCGCCGCCTGGTTGCGCGTGCCGTGCAGCAGGTGCTGTAGGCGGTCTTGGTAGCGGCTTTCGGCAGCTTTCCGTTTCCCCAGTGTGAGGATGCCCGCCGCAGCGTCGCTGCTCACGCGCACCGATTTGACATCTGTGGAGTTATCGGCTCCTGTGCGGCACAGCAGCCCGTACAGGCCACAGGCGCGAGGCCTCCGCTCACAGCAGCCGGCCATGCCTTCGGACACATGCATCACCTGCGCAAACAGCGCGAGGAACAGCAGCACCTGCACAAGAAGAAAAGTAAAAAGTCAGATTCAGGAAAAAGTGCTGTGAAATACTGAGAGTAAAAGTAGCTGTCAAGAACAAGCCGAACAGAGGCATAGCTGAGGGTTGACCGGGGTGGCTAGCACCACCCTGGAAAGAAGCATGGTCACCTTTCTGGCCAGCCCAGTTATGGAAAGTAAGACAGTCAGTCATTGATAAAGCTTTAATTATGGTTTATGGTGAAAATCTGGCATCTGGGAAATATGGCTATAATTGTACTGATGTACAGTTTTATGTATGTGAAATGCTAGACAGATTTAGTTACATACAGAGGAAAAACAGTGCACCAATTTATATGTCATTTTAATACAGTAATGCTGTGGATATATATATATATATATATATATATATATATATATATATATATATATATATATATATATTTCTTAGCAGTGTGCCACCCCAGTAAAATCTCTTGGTCTTTCTTGGCCACCCCAATCTAAAGGTTCTAGCTACACTGCTCAAGCCAAGTAACATGACCCTCCCTGGTTTCTATCACCACCATTGTAAAGAAATTGGAGTTGGTTAGTTTCTCTACAATGAACCATTTCACATCAAACCACTCTGCATCTCCACCTCATTGACTGAGTTATGCAGTAGTTTGGCATGGCATCCATAAATTCATGTTTTTTATTATTCTTTTTTCATTAATCTGGATATACATATTTTTAACAATTTATGCATGATTTATGACATTATTAAAACTTTATTCTAAGTCTAGTCGTCTTTACAACATCCAGCAGCAGCCAGCTTTTCTACATTCTTTACGTATTAAAACATTAATCTTGGCATCCTATTAATGTCTGGAAAAGTCGTCTTTTACGTCTTTAAATGTCTTTGTGCTCACTGAGACAGCTCTCTGAACTGCAACTCTTTCTCTCTCATGCAAGTGCTTCAAGGTTCATGAATCCATTTTCTCTGATCTATTAACACGATCCCTCTACCCATATTGTGGTCCTTTAATGTGTGTGTGATTCGCATAGCTTGAAAACCCCTCAAAAGCTGAGTAATCTAGAACAGCAGTCAGGGCTGTTTCCTGCTGTAAGCAGTACTGCCTAAGAAACCACTTAGGGCCCCTGAGTACTCAGATTTTATTTACACTGTCTCTGTATCACTTTTATTCTTTTAGTCTCCCACTCACCAAGTTGGATGTCGCTTAGTGTCCCCAAATGTTCAAAAACAGCCCTGACTGCATGCAGTGGAACTTCTTGGTACATCCAGCATATATCAGTATAGGACCTGAAGTGTGCGAGGCTCGATTATTCTCTTTTTAGACACTTTTAGTCTAAAATAAAATAATAAATCTCAACTGTCAGAGATGTGACAATCTTCAAAACAGTACAGATGCTGTGACCAGTGTAACATGATGCAACTAAACCCCTATAAAAAGAATTAGGAATTAAATGTGAACGGAACTGAATAAATAGTACATTCCTTTCCCCACAAATACTCATGAGTACAAGCAGAAGCAGTATTACTTGGATCAAACTGTACTCAAGTACACTGAACTGAATGAATATAAAAAGTTTCCACCTCCTTAAAAGTTTGAGTTTCTTGCACTTCTAACAGTGACTTAACAGAATAATAATCTGTTTTACGTTCTGTGAACTTGAGTTAAATAAAATCTAATTGATAAGGCATCCAGTTTAACTTATATTTTAAGGTAAAACGTTAAAACAAATCTGTTTTGTACATGTGGGGTCTGCACTTGGGATTCAAGACTAAGGCCCAATCCCATTTCACCCCTCGCCCCTACTTAGCCTGTTTGTGCGTTCACATCTAGGGATAGGGTGTCCTGATTTTTGTTGAGACAGAGGGGTAGGGCGAAGTGTCCATATGGAGTTTTTCAGAGAAAATTCAATAACCACTGTATTATCTTAGCTTAATGTCGTTTCAATGTATTATGTCACTTTTCGTCATAACAAGCTTAAAAACTGCTAGTATTACGCTGATGTTGCTGAACTTTACCCTCCTCTGCTGTTACTGCAGACTGGCAGGGGGGCCTCCAGAGCACCACAGGCAGCCTGTTAATCAGGGCCGGAATGGCCGTCGGGAGAAACGGGATATTTCCTGACCTGTCAGCTGGCGTTACAACGTATGAGGAACTAAACAACACAGTACAGCTTGTGAACACGCGCTGTCTCTGCAGTCCTGTTCCGTCAATGACGTCTTTCTGCCGTGACGTAGTATGTAAAAAACACTCATTACCCGCTCGCGCGCGCGCTATTCAGCTCCGAGTTTGTGCTCATCGCGTCTCACCGAGAAATGGAGAAGAAGAGAAAAGGTGGCGCGGAGAGGAAAATGATAAAAAAAAAGCACTCGAAAAAGAAGCTGCTAGGTGTTAAAAAGATTTTTTCAGGAAGGGAGCGACACGTCAGCCACGTAAGAACTATTTCCGTAGGTTTGCTTTGGTTGTGTTTTGTAGCCTACGGCATCCTAACGGTAGCTAACTAGCAGTTACATTTTCTCGTTTGATGCGTCATTGTGCAGCTCAAATTCACAAAATATAGAATAGATAGTCTTAAAAGTACAGTTTTGCCAGTCAGTACACAGCAGTTTGATTATTTGTGACTCTTCAGAAGGTATATGTTGATGTTTGCGATTAGCATGTAAAGAGTGTGTTTTTCAGCTGAGGCACAGTTACTGATTTGTGGACGTTTCAAAAGCATACGTTACATGAAACAAGAGTGGATCTGATTCAGACGCATTTTAAAATAAATCATACAGTATTTTTTTTTTTTTTATCCTGGCACGATGTAAAGCTTGAGCCACATAGTATACATTGTGTAGATTGTTTGGTGAAGCTATATAGTGCTAGACACTTTATAAAAAATATATGCATTTAAATTGATAATTAATTTTGTGTTTTAATTTTTTCTTTGCAAAGGTGGACAACCAGAAAGACAGCATGAGACACCTTCGAGTTCAGGTAGAGCTCCAGGTACAGCTTACATTAGGTTTGCCTAATAATTAAAAAAGATACATATAGAGAGAGCGTTACAGAGAGCTTTAAGAGAAGAGAGCTTCTTAGAGAGCTTTAAAACTTAATATATCCAAGTATTTCAAGTACTGTTTGATCGAAGCATTATGTACACCATGAAGTGTGTTTATCAAAAAATCTGGAACAGTTTAGGTGACTGAGCAGGTCATTAATGAGGGGGCAGTTATGGAGGGTATTTTGTATTACCTTGAACATACATATAAAAACCCTTACTAAACAGCTATTCATACAGATAAAGTAGCTGTGTGTATGTGTGTGGCATGAGTCCTTCCATGATTCCCGGCCCGAACAACTGTCCCAGTCCAGCCCTGCTGTAAATGAAGTAATGTTCTTTTTTATTTGAGGGTTGTCCTATTTTGTAGGGGAAAATTTCAACCACTGCCGTTTGTAACTCAGTTCCAAGGGGCAAGGTGACACTCCAAAACAAGGGGTAGGGGTAAAAATAAGAAATGGGATTGGGTCTAAACTAGAGTATGCAGTAGTAGCCTGTAACTTATATAAATTACTGATGAACTTGAGAAAACTATGTAGGATTTCAAATTTCAGATTTTCACCCATTATTAACCCCTTAAAATCCCAGGCTTATTACATACCAAGGCCTTTTATTCAGTAACTACAGGGACTTTAATGCAAACTGGTTGAGTTATACTTAAGTTAAGAAGTGTGTAATATAACTTTGGGTCCGCTGGTGGGACCTGGCCATTTAGGGACTAAGTCGCACTGTTCTATATAACATGATTCAACTATATCTGAACATTTCCAACCTTGTTTTAAAATTTATTGTAATAAATGTTTTGGAAATTTGGTATTTAGATTTAAAAGCCAGTAAGATTCTTTTCCCAAAACCCCAAAATCAGCAGTGGTGGTTCTTTTCTGCACTACACTGTTCAATTAGTACACTTCTAGATTTTTTAAACTGCTCTTTAGAAAAGGACCAAAGAAATCATTTAAACATTTCATCATCATAATAATAATAATTTAATATTTCAGATTTAATTGCTTCATGTTAGAAAAAAAGTCATGTTCCAGCGAGTTGAAATAGATCATTCAGCAACAGCTATTCAAATTGAACTGTGCTAAATTTGAATGAGTCTGAATACAAACTGAGGCCAAACGACTGTCCCTCAAATATTCTAATACAGCCTCATTTTTTAAAAATCCTACTAATACTTATGAAGTCTATGGTAGCAAGTGCCAGAAACAATTCACTGTAACATCAGTATAACATCAAAGTGCAAAACATCGTCAATAGCTGGATGCAGGACAGGTCTCACACGTGAGCAGGTCTTACCTTGGCTGTGGAGATGGTCATGTGCCTGACTGCTCCGCTGGGCTTGATGTGGGCACCTGTCATTCTAGATTAAGGCTTCGAATTATGTCCACTCTTAAACAGACCCTTTATATACAGACCCTCTCCTGCAGCCTTCATTGATAAGCTCATATAGAATTTGCTTAACAAAGACGAGCGCCTGATGCTGCTCTTCTGTTCCACCTCTTTTGTTGTCATGTTGCTCATTTAAGAGCCAGAGTGTGATGTTAGGTCAGATTGTTGGGTTTGTTAGCGGAGTCGGTCATTAATGGACTAATCGGCATGGATGGCTCTGTGGATGTATCCAGGGAGCTTCATGGACAGCCCAGGATCAGCATTGTATCTGCTCAGACTCAGCTTCGTTAGTGCGTGCCATTAGAATTAGCAAGTAAAGGACAATGACATAATTAGCAGCCAGTGTAAATAGGGCCAAAATGGAGGAAAGAGAGCCAAACAAAAAGGGCTAGGAGTCACCACAGCTGTGAAGAAGATAAAGGATAATGAGGATGCAGGAGAGGAGGCTTTTGTGTGGAGGAGAAGGTCAGAGAGCGTTCAGAGATAATGACTGAATGACATATCGCTGCCGTTAGAAAACTGATAGAACATTCTAATCAGGTTCTTTCACAAATGACCATAAAGGCCAGAGCACGCCCAGCAAGCAAACTCCAACAAACATTAAAAACTAGGTATATTTGATTGGGGAACCAAAAGCTCTTTAAAAAGTGGTTCTGCAAGGGTTCATATCGTTGCTGTCCAAAGAAAAACAAGTACCTCCAAAACAGTTACTTCACAGGAGAGGGCAAAAATTTTCTTTACTTTCAATGTATGTTAATGGAAAGAGCTTTCATTCTAAGTCATTTTAGCGCATTTCTATTGGTCAAATCATCACAAAATTTTTACCTGACATAAAGGACAGCTGTCATGTTCAAATGACGCAGAATAGTAAAAATCGCAAAAAATGGAGATAAATGATTTCTATTGGACAGTGATGATATGGAACTGTGAATACTCAAAGAACCAGTTGAATGATTTAATGATTCTTTGTCTATGGTTCTTAAGATTTTTAATTGAATAGTTCTTTTCTGTGATGAAAAACATATTCAAAGAACCATTTAAATGGTTCTTTACAGCACCAAAAACTCAAAAGCACCTTTTTTGGTACTATATAGGACTGTTGTTGGAAAGGGGGAGTATGTGTTCTCCCTATTCAAGCTGTTCTAGACGTCTCCTCCTGGTTCACACTGTTTTAGAATGTTCCATAATTTGCACTATTCTATGATGTTCTCCCCCCTTCTACATTGTTTTAGAATGTTCTCCCTTCATTTCCACTGTTCCAGAATGTTCACCCTTAATTTACACAGGTCTAGAATCTTCTGTCCTTATTCACACTGTTCTACAATGTTCTCTCCTTATTCACACTGTTCTACAATGTTCTCTCCTCATTCACACTGTTCTACAATGTTGTCTCCCACTTATACTGTTTTACAATGTTCTCTGCTCATTCACACTGTACTAGAATTCTCCCCTTGTTCACAGTTTTAGAATGTTCTCTCCTATTCATACTGTTCTAGAGTGTTCTTCCTGTCCACACTGGTCTAGAATGCCCACCCCCTCACCTAGAATAACAATTTTGGACATTTGAGTGGGATTTTTGAGATGAATTAGATTATTATTGCAATTTAGTTCAATTTGTTAAAACCTCTCAGCTTTACTTGGTTGGTCAATGCATCCTTCTTTAGTAAAACTCACATCTTTCCCATGGGCTCTGGGAATAGATTTGTACACTATATTGCCAAAAGTATTCACTCGTCTGCCTTCACACGCAGATGAACTTGAGTGACATCCCATTCTTAATCCATAGGGTTTAATATGATGTCGCCCCACCCTTTGCAGCTATAACAGCTTCAACTCTTCTGGGAAGGCTTTCCACAAGGTTTAGGAGTGTGTTTATGGGAATTTTTGACCATTCTTCCAGAAGCGCATTTGTGAGGTCAGACACTGATGTTGGACGAGAAGGCCTGGCTCGCAGTCTCCGCTCTAATTCATCCCAAAGGTGTTCTGTCGGGTCAGGACTCTGTGCAGGCCAGTCAAGTTCTTCCACACCAAACTCGCTCATCCATGTCTTTATGGACCTTGCTTTGTGCACTGGTGCGCAGTCATGTTGGAACAGGAAGGGGCCATCCCCAAACTGTTCCCACAAAGTTGGGAGCATGAAATTGTCCAAAATCTCTTGGTCTGCTGAAGCGTTAAGAGTTCCTTTCACTGGAACTAAGGGGCCGAGCCCAACTCCTGAATAACAACCCCACACCATAATCCCCCCTCCACCAAACTTTACACTTGGCACAATGCAGTCAGACAAGTACCGTTCTCCTGGCAACTGCCAAACCCAGACTCGTCCATCGGATTGCCAAACGGAGAAGCGTGATTCGTCGCTCCAGAGAACACATCTTCACTGCTCTAGAGTCCAGTGGCGGCGCTTTACACCACTGCATTCGACGCTGTGCATTGCGCTTGGTGATGTAAGGCTTGGATGCAGCTGCTCGGCCATGGAAAACCATTTCATGAAGCTCTCTACGCTGTTCTTGAGCTAATCTGAAGGCCACATGAAGTTTGGGGGTCTGTAGCGATTGACTCTGCAGAAAGTTGGCGACCTCTGCGCACTATGCGCCTCAGCATCCGCTGACCCCGCTCTATCATTTTACGTGCCCTACCACTTCATGGCTAAGTTGCTGTCATTCCCAATCGCTTCCACTTGGTTACAATACCACTGACAGTTGACTGTGGAATATTTAGTAGCGAGGAAATTTCACAATTGGACTTGTTGCACAGGTGGCATCCCATCACGGTACCACGCTGGAATTCACTGAGCTCCTGAGAGCGACCCATTCTTTCACAAATGTTTGTAGAAGCAGTCTGCATGCCTAGGTGCTTGGTTTTATACACCTGTGGCCGTGGAAGTAATTGGAACACCTGAATTCAATGATTTGGATGGGTGAGTGAATACTTTGGCAGTATAGTGTATATTGGGCGTGTCTTTCTACCCTGTATAACCTGCCATCAGTATGTTGTCGTTCTCCTCAGTCTACCTTCCCTTGGGTAACTCTAATTAGTTTCAGTCAACACTGATTTTAAAAAACTAAAATCAATGTCGCGTGAGTCGGATGCTCCCACCTGTTGAGTGTGGTTCTGTGGTGGCTGGACACTGCAGTGATCACTGTTGGGTTAAAATGTCAGCATTTGGCAAGATGGTCCTGAGCAGTACTAAGTGGTTTAAGATATTGTTTTCAACACGTTTATGCAACACAATATGAATTTGTTACAATTATAGCCTTGTGTGTGTTTTTTAAAATTGAGTTAGTTCAACTTGAGAGGTAAGATTTGTGTAAAGGCAGTGAATTTACTGTTTCAGAACTCTCAATTACTTAACTGTGTTGAGTTAGTACAACTATTACATATCAGTCCAAAATACTCTTTTTAAAATCAACAGAATGAATAAAGTTAGTACAACTGGCTCAGTTTACTTAAGTGTGTACAACAATAAAACTGTGTGTTGTTCATACAGGAAATTATTTATGGTCAAATGAGTTGAGCTAAAGTGAAGCTTATATGGTTTAAGGCATTTGGTTTTCTCCAAACATTTGAGGTCACTTAACTCATCAGGTTTTACAGTTTATTATCCATGTAATAAGAGTAATTTGTTCTTTGAGGCCTATTGGTTACTTGAGTATTCACAATTAACCCATATTTGTGGTTGTCATTGCCCACCACTGGATTAAGGGTCTCTAGGGATGATGATGATGATGATAAAATAACATGGCGACTGTAGTTCTAAAATATGTTTAAGGCTAAAAACCAAAACATTTGCTGTTGCTCTTGATTCAGTATAGTGGTTAACAGGCAAAGTATAAAGATGTTCAGAATTAGGCTTTTGGCTTGAAGTCATAGTTTAAAATTATTATATGTGAACTAAACTATAAGTACAAAAGAAGTAGTATTCATGTAAGAAAGTTCTTACTAAGAATTCTTCCTGGACCATTAGCCGGAAAAAAAAAGCTTAAAATTGATAGCTCATATTTTGCGATTACTGAGCTTAGTATATGGTTTTGTCCTGGTGGCATATAGGTGAATGCCTTAAAAGGATAATTTCACAGATTTGGAAAAAAAAATCTACAAAGTTTGATGCTTGGGATGTAAACAAAGTCATTCAGAGTGTTTTGAAATGAACTTATTATTTTTCAATACAGTAGAGAAGATGGGAACCTGGGGTCACAGTGTCCACAACGCAGTTACAGCCATTTTATTTACTATTCAAAATGACTAGTGAATCTACGTGTCTGCTGAGTTTTTATATGTAACATGATAATGATAAAATAGTGTTCATTCTAAAAAAAGTTTTCTTTGAGGAATATTTTACCTTATACATGGTTGAGATGTAACGAGTATTGGAAATACAAATTTCAGAAATTAGTAAACAGTTTTGTTTACATCTTAGGTGAATATTTTTAGAATACATACCCACTAAATCTAAAAAATATATACTTATATGCTTGTTTACTAGCTATTTTAAAATTTGTGCTGGCCTGTAAAGACATACTCTAAATGAGAACTCAACTCTTAACAAATACTGAAGTTCCTGCTAAAGCCTGAGTAGACTGATAAATCAGTGCGATGATCAGTTATTAATCTGTGTTACTGAGCTCTTCTGAGGAATGATGGAACTGAACAGTCTTCTCAGTAGAGGACATGTTAACGAGTCATACATTTAGCATCGGTGTTGTACTGGCCTTGTGCAGGCGTTTCGCTTCAAGCTATATGTGCCATCAGCTGAAAATGTCCTAGCTACTCACTTTATAGGCAACTTTGCAAGATTTTTTTTGGGATATGGCAAATTGCATGCTTAGTTTATGAGACTGCAGTGGGACTGAGGGAGCAGCAATGGACTGAAGCAGGCTATGAGAGTCAAAATAATGTTGAGAATTTTGTAACTTCATTTAACAAAATAAATAAATCAGGAAAATCTTGAAGAAAACTGCCAACCAGTAACAGCCAAGAACAGTGTGAAGTTTTTTTTAACCTGTATTCTAAATGCATTACTTTCTATGTATTGTAATGGAATATGTTACTAAACACATTCAGGCCAGTTTATTTAGTATTCAGCGATCACTGCTTTTTCAAAGTATTCTGCCCAAAATGCACTTTATGCCAAACTTTATCTCAAAGTTATCTTAAAGCAATGTCCCAAACATCAGGCTATGTATTCATAACCATTTCATGTACTAACTGTGTGTGAGGGAACTCTTAGCCTCTACACTTCAGACTTCAGGTTCCTGTCATTAACATGAGAACATTTTTTTTCTTGTTCAGTTAATACTTTGTTCACTGTCCTTTTGCAAGGATAAGAGCATGAGTCCTTTCTTCTGAAACTGGTTTATAATGAAGATAAACATTCTTCTGGCAAGTCCTCCTACAGGGGTTGTGTAGGTTCATCATGACATTTCTTTACCTCATAACTGTAGAGCCTTAATAATGCCTTTAATAATAATGCCCTAATTGGTGTGAAGCAACTTTTAATAACCATTAGCTGATAAATGAAGGTCAACAGTACCTTCTCTTATCTGTGTGATTCTCTGTTGAACGGTGTTTGGCTTGCGTTTCCCCTTATTTTTGTACATATAAAGAACATTTATCAGTTAGATCAGTTAGAGAAAGAAGGGGGGCATGTCCCGTTTGTAAACAGTTCCATTTCGCTACTGTTGGAACAAAACCTTGTATCTCCAAAATGATAACAGGAGAAGGAAGGAATCTACTTTAGTTTTAATGTAAGTCAATGTAACCAGACTTTTTTTGGGCCGTTTTGGGCCGTTTCTTTTAGTCCAATCATCATGATAATTACATATAATGTAAAGGGCAACCGGCATTTTCAAATTAAGTCAGAAACTGAAAAACGACAAAAACGGAGATACAAGGTTTTGTTCCGACAGCATTAATTTACTGTTAGGCTAAAGCATAATTGTGCATGATTCTAACGTACAAGACGATGATGCATAAACCTACACACACAGGGCTGAAACATTGTGATGACAGTTTTGTTTTTATAGCACAAAAAAAAATCTTTAAGATTGTGTGGTAGGGCTTTCTTACCTTTTCTTATTCATTTTGTGGTGGTATTATTATTATTATTATTATTATTATTATTAATATTCCCAACAATAACAATTTAAACAATAAAAGTTACAGAATTTAACATGGCGTATTTCCATTTAACATTTCATTGTTTTGTAAATGATTATTAGACATAACAGAACAGATCAGCTGCAAAACTCACACAAATTCATCTCCAGCAAGACGGCCAACAGTGTTGCTTGATAGCGATTGCTGTAGATAGCATGTAATGCTAATGCCAGCTTATCAATGGATCTCCGGTGAATACCGTTTATCTTTATGATTACAATCAAAGAAAATGCTGTTTCTGCTGCAATGAAGTAACGTCTCACCCTGGGGGGCTTCTATATTGTCTATATTTCTTGCCTTATATTTGTGTGTAAGCATTTCTACAGTAGATCCCATAAAAATGTCATTTTTAATAATTATTTTTATTGTTATATTTATGATTTTTAGAAAAGATTTTTTTTTATTTAGATTTCTTTCACACTTTCAAAGACAATTTGAAGTTTCTCAAAAACTTACACATGAAATCGCTTCCATTGAAATGTACATTTCTTACCGCATACATGCATCTGAAGGTGTATTGGAAATGTGAGATATGTGAGTCAATGCGAATGTGCACTACTGTATAAAATAAATGACAGGAAACAATCATTTCTAGTGCCATATCACTTTTATCATATATTATGGATTTTATAAATGAGGGAAATCAAATGAGGTGTTATTCCGCAGACGTCAACACCAACTCCTCTTTTCTAAACCACATTCCCCCCCAACCCCCACATTCTTCGCTCACCCCCCCCTTGCAGTGAGTTTTCAACCAACGAACCACAGGTACATCATGACATTACTGTGTATGCACAGTTCATTATTATAAAATAACTGCAATATTACTTATTATACCTACCCACAATAGTAACAGTAGTAATTACAATAATCACATCGTTCACAAACAGCATATTCTCTCAGAGGTGAAGTGTTCTGAGTGTCCTTTAATTAGATCTAAAATTATTTATTTCATTCATCAATTATTTGCTTATCTGCTTCTCAGTGCTGCTTAAAGTTTGACTGACAGCAAAGATTTCCCAGAGTTCTCTGCGCTGAGTCCATCGCAAAAGGATAAGTCCAAGTTCCAGTTTAAACGCTATGGTGAAGTTTTTTTTTTTTTCGTTTTTTGTTTTTTTTTTAAAACTCAAAATTAAGACAGACGCACGACACTCACACGCACGCACCCACTTTCACTCACTGTACCCCTGGATAAAAGTTTGATTGAAAGGACCAAAGTGTAAATGTAAAATAAAACAAATAAAAACATGAATTGTAACACCTGACAAAATGTGCAGAGGCCCCAAACATCTTCCAGACCAGCAGGGGGAGCCAAAGGGAAGAAGTCTTTTGTTCAGTGGCATTGCTGACTCTTTGTTTGTGTGTGTGTGTGTTTATATTTGAGGAGGTACATCTTTATGTCTTTTTTAAAACCTGTTTTGTCTTTTCTTCCTCGTATTTACTTGACTTGCTCACTTTATCAGTCTTATTTCTCAACATCACTGCATTTAACAATGACAGATGAAAAAGCAGGGAGGAAATATATTCCTGTCTTCACTGAACATGTGTGAGACATTCCTGGCCTGCACAGCTTTGCTTTGGGCTGAATATCTAGTTATTTATGATGCATCTGTGAAGTGACCTGAGGTATGAGAAATGCTCTGTAAAACTCAGGGCTAATATACTTTTGAAACTTTCATTAGTTTTTATTTTGTTTTTTATTTTAGTTTTTGTTTAGTTTTGGTAAGTTTTAAGCATGCATTAACAGTTTTAGTTTATTTTCAGTTTTAGCTTTTATTTTCTTTGTTTCTTTTGCTACTGTAGCAAAATATCATTAGCTATTATTAGCTATATATGATCCACCACCCAAATAATACCTGCTCTGTGGTGGTCCTGTGGGGGTCCTGACCACTGAACATCAGGGTAAAAGCAGGCTAACAAAGTATGCAGAGAAACAGATGGACTACAGTCTGTAACTGTAGAACTACAAAATGCACCTATATGGTAAATGGAGCTGATAAAATGGACAATGAGTGTAGAAATTAGGTGTTTTTAATGTTATGGCCGACTAGTGTGTGTGTTTATGTATGTGTATGTATGTACGTATATAGAACTAAACTGCAAAAAAGAGCCTATTTTGAATTTACTGTTTTTGTGATGTCTTGAAAACATATTTACATATTCACCTCAGCCTGGACTGTGCATACACCAATGAGCTAAAACATTAATAACCACTTGCCTAATATGCTGTTGGTCCTCTGCGTGCTGCACAAACAGCTCCAACCTGCCGAGGCATGAACTCTTTAAGACCTCTGTGACAGCTTATTTAAATAATTGTAAGGGATGAAGAGAGGTTAAAATGGTCATTTAAAAATGAATTAGGACTGCTTTTGTGTCCCACTTGTATAAGCCCTTTAAATATTTTCTCTCTGTAACTTTAGTTTGCTTTGCAGTGGACATTATAATTTATATTCTTTTAAAAATTACAGTTAAATAGTGGTTTTATTTAACATTTTTTCACTGCTTGTTTTAGTTTTCAGAATATTTTTTTTTTTATTTATTATAACCCAAGATGTAGATGCAGATCATAGTTAAAGGTTAGGTTTAGGGTTTTAGGGTTAAACTGGGCAAATGTGTTAGATAACAATGTAGCAGCGTGTTTCCCAAAAACAAGAATGTGAAGAATGGACATCCTTGGGAAGATTGTTCTTGGCGAATTATCTAACAAGAACAAACTTGCAAGAACATGTAAATGGAGAATGAGAATGGAGAACATTTAGCAGCAGAAATGTAAAACGAAACACTTTTGTACATTATACAAATGCAGTCTGATGGGACTGTTTATTCTCAAATGTGTTTTTCTATGAAAAATATGATTTTTGTTTGTTTTTTTTTTTTCCAAAAAGCAGATTTAGGTGCAACATATACCTAAAATTAGAGAATCTGAACACAGTTGTGGGTCTGAATAGCATCCTTCATGACCACGATGCTGTTGCAATAAATGATGATATATGATATATGATATTATAAATTATGGCTTGCAGTTCATTCCCGTTGGCAAGTCACCAACAAATGCATAATCTATATTCTGAGGTGAACCAAGAACATTCATGGATCTTTTGAATTTTATCTGTACTTGTACACTGGGACTTGGGCAGTGGAAGCAAATCTGAATGCGTTTTGGGAAACATTCTCTGTGTCTGGGGTTTGGGCCAGAATTTGTACAGTAGCCTAATGCAGCCTTCACCATCTTCTCACTATAGGTAGCTCACAGTTCAGAGCTGTGCAGACCAGTGGAGTCCTTTAACCTTAGAAGTCGCAGTTATCGCCAGCGATAACAAAGCACTGTGTAATTTTATATGAACTATTTCTCTCATAGCTCACTGAAAACTGTGGGAAGTGCCGATTCTGAACTTTCAATCAATACCACATTTGTGTTCGCGGTAGAAGATTTTATTGTAATGAATGATGTAATTACGTTAATTACATTTCAACACTAATAACTCGGCTTCTAAGGGGTTAAATCTCCTCCTCCTGCTTTTTCAGTCTTTTCTCATTTCATTCTCTCTTTCCCAAAACTACTGCTTTGAACCTTCCTGAGATCAGTTATTCCTCCCTCTGTGTGTGTGTGTGTGTGTGTGTGTGTGTGTGTGTGTGTGTGTGTCAGTGTGGTGTGCTGGGCTCCGTGTCCGGCGGCTCTGTCTCTGGGATGGTGTCCAGGGGGCCATGGGGTCGCGGGTGGGGAGGGAGCAGGGGCGAGGCAGGGGAGGTGGATGCTCCATTCTTGGCCAGGCCGCACGAGTGAGCCGCACATTGGATCTGCCTCAGAGTGTCCACTGCCTCGCCTTTAGCATGCTTCAGCAAGTCCGCCTGACCCTGAGAGAGGGAGAGAGAGAGAGATGAAATATTAGCCATCTGGATATACATTAGCAGAGAAACTGTGTTGATATCAGTACCCCACTTGTGTTGTGAAGAAGAGGTAGATATTTTATTATGATTTGAATTTGAAGAATAATTATTGTTGGATGCATAGTCTTATATAGTCTAATAACAATAACCAAGATTTAAGGGTTGATTACAAAAGTCAAGTTAGCTTTACAGGGGAAATCCTTAGCATTATGTCAAAGGGAGAGATGTCAGAGTTCCTACTAGGCCAGGGGTGTCTAATCTTATCCACAAAGGGCCGGTGTGGAGGTTTTCACGCGAAACAAGCTAAAGCACACCTGATTCTACTTGTTTAATCAGTTGGTCTTAGTCTTCAAGCATTTCATTGGGTGACCTCCTGCTTTGTTGGAGTGAAAACCTGCAGCCACACCGGCCCTCTGTGGATAAGATGGGACACCCCTGTACTAGGCGGTGATTATCACTGAGCTGCAGTGACACCTCCCGCCTGCAGGGGTAACTGTGATACAACACATCGCTCAGCCTGTTTAGACTGCAACACTGCAGACAGCAGCACAGCTGTAGTGCAGCAGCAGTGACTTACAATCCTCCTCCATGCCCTTCATAAATCCTCCGCTCTCTTTGGGAGCACTCCAGAGATGGAGGGATGCTGGAAGGCAGCGGAAGGAGGAAGCAATCAGGGCAGACGGGCTTGGGTGTGTGGGTGTGTGCGTGGATGCGGGTGCCAGAAATAGGAGGCGTCAGTGGGTTTGTGAGCATGTATGCAAGTTATTAAGTGAGTGAGTGAATATGATTGTGTGTGTGAGTAAATCAGTAAGTATGTCCTTGAGAGTGGCATTGAGGCTGGGACTAATTAATGGAGGCGCCTTAAATCCTGACCACACGTACACAAAGCACATGGACACGTACACTCCTTCAGCTCTCTCGGCAATGATACTGGGCCTCTATCCTCCTCGGCTCTAGAAAGCATCTGAAAAGTGGGGCTTGGACACAATAAACTTTAGTGAAGAGGCTGCAAATGCAGCTGGTACAAAAAGTGAGAAGGAAACGCACAGGAGGGTCACAGTCCCAGGCCCAGTCTTGTGGTGTATTAAAGTTTTTTTGTTATACATTTTGTTATACATGTGTTATACATTATGAAATCACTGCTGTCGGAACAAAACCTTGTATCTGCAAAATTATAACTTTACAGGAGAAGGAAAAAACATGGAACCAATGGAACCAGAATTTTTCAAAGTCATTCTGGGCTGTTTATTTTGCTCCATTCATTGTGAAATTTACACACAATGTAAGGTATTTTCAAAATATGTCCAAAACTGAAAAAGGATAAAAATGGAGATATGAGGTTTCGTTCCGACAGCGGTGTATGCAGCGCTGTGTGTGCATGTGCTGTGATTGTATTTAGACTGCCTATCTTTGTTTATTCTTATATAGTCATGTCTGTCACACCTGTCACTTGTCATGTATAAACTGGGCCTAATCTTGGCATCAGTCCAACTATAAAACTGTGTCAGTCCATTGTTTTACAGGCTGGCTAGGTGTCTGGTACCTGCATGCAAGAAATAAACTAATTCTCCAGACATACGGCTAGCTCCTTGGTTTGTGACAGGTTTGAATTCTTTAGTTGTTTAAAGACTGACCAATTGATTAAACAAGTAGAATTAGGTGTGCTTCTGCTGATACTGATACCGATTTCAGGGGCCAAGAAAATTCGATAAACGATCTCCAAAATAATTTTATATTTATATTCCAGATTTCAATCCATACTCTAATATTCTGGTTAAACAATACTGAGTGATATTTTCAGTTCTCAATTATCTCATTTTTTATAATCATTTAAACAGTAACTCACAGTCTTAAATAATAAGTTGTAGTATAGGTGCAGATAATCTTGTGGTATGAGATAAACTTTGGCGTGATCAGTGGCTGATATTGTCAAACATCATTGATTTTTACGACTGACAAAGTTAATGAGTCCTGTGGTGTGAGAGGTCAGTGACATAACTGAATGAGTGCTTCATGCAATGGCTAATGGGAGAGCTAGGAGAGAGGACAAAAGGTGACGGTGCATGTACGCAGGGTGATGGGGGAGTTGGGTGATGAATACTGACAAAAGCGAGTGTGCTTATATGACTGAAGTGCAACCAAAAGAACCAAAAGAATGATATCTGCATTTTCCAACCCCACACACATCCACAATTAGCATTTTTGCTATGCTTCTGTGTGCATAAAGGACCAAACAGGTTCAGTCCAGCTTTAGATTGGTTTGTGTCACGTGATAATGGTGAAATGTGGGATTCTGGATGCTAATTGTAGCCAAAATTCATTATGTGTGTAGTGACTTCTCTCAGGTCTTAATGAATTAACGTCGCTAAAGTTGACTAAGTAGCTAAAGGAAAAAGCCAAAAGGCAGAAAAAGGGAACCAGCAGGAGATATATCTTAAATATCTTCTTTTTACTAGGCTCCACAGAAAGGTTGCAGTTGAACCCCATGGGGTCGAGGAGAGATGTGTGTGCCGGGCCTTGCAGGACACCGCCTGTCAGACTGTACGCTCAAATAGAGAACTGCTGTTGCGTATGAGTCACTTTAGTGTGACTAGCTGTATTACACAGCTTTTTAAAGGTAAACACGTCAGAAATAAAATTTAATATTATAACTGACACTATTGGCAATTTGTTGCTCTGCTAGTTTGACCAAATGAAGCTGCTGTCGACCTTTCTGATTTTAAAACTGCTGGTTGTTTGTATGGAGGCTATTCAGGTGTGATTCAATGACGTGAGGAACTGCTCGATATTTTGTCATTTTCACCAAGTGCAAAAAGTTAGTGTTGGATTTTAAATTACTCAACCATACAGCACTTCAGGCACTAGATGACTAAGTACGCAGGATAGTAATGTAGAAGTACAAAGAGTACAGGGTCAGAACGTCCCTGCTTCCTCTAGACCTGATCCAGAACATGCAGGCGATGGGAGCGCAGCCCCGCCTGAGTCTTATTTATTCTTTATTACATACAGCTGTAATAGAGAGCAGAGAAGACAAGAGCAGAAAAAAAGAGAACAGGAGAGAAGATAAAAGGAAAAGAGGAAAGCAGAAGAGAAGGAAAAAGAAAAGGAAATTTGAGAAATTAGAAGAGTATAAGGAGAGAAAAGGAGAAGAGTGAAAGAGAAGAGAAACGAAAAGGAGCAGAAAATAGAGCAAAAGAGTAAATAAGAACAAAAAAGAGAAGCAGAGAAAAAAGAGGGGAGAAGAGAAGCAGAGAGAAGAGAAAAAAGGAGAAAACAAGCAGAGATAAGAGAAGAGAGTGAAAGATAAGAGAAAGGAAGAGAAGAAAGGAGAAGAGAAAAAAGGAGAAAACAAGCAGAGAGAAGAGAATGAAAGATAAGAGAAAGGAAGAGAAGAAAGGAGAAGAGAAGCAGAGAGAAGAGTGAGAAGAAATGAGAATACAAGCTGAGAGAAGGAAAAGAGAAGCAGAAATAACAAGAGAGTAAAAGATGAAAAGAGGAGAAAAAATTACAAGAGAAGAAAAATTAGAAAATTGAGAATAGAAGAAAAGAGAAGGAAAAGGAAGAGAAAACTAGTGAGAGGAGTAAAAAAGTAGAGACAAGAAAAAAGTAAAAGAGAAGCATAAACTGAGAAGAGAACCTGAGAGAAGAAAAGAACAGAAGCAGAGAGAAGAGAATAAAAAAGAAAAGAAGAAGAGAGAAAATGAGAAGAAAAAAATGAGACAAGAACAAGAGAGAAGTGAAAGGAGAACAGAAGCAGGGAGAAGAGAATAAAAGAGAAAAGCAAAGTAGAAGAGAAGGGAGTAAAGGAGAAGAGAAGAGAGAACAGGAGAACAGAAGTGTAGACTCTCCTGTAACAGGATCAGCTGCTGCACCTGCATTAGCTGTAATGTATGCGCAGTGCAGTGACAGTCTAAAATCCTGACCTGTAGTCTGGCTGCTGCAGCATATAGCTGAGCGTTTACAGCCGTGCAGAGGTTCCTTGACCTAAATAGACATGTCTTCTGATATGAATAAATTATATATTTTAAAACAGATGAATTATGCATGTGGGCGTGACTCACACAGCCTTTTAGACTGAGGGGAGAGGAGGGGCTAGAGACGTACTGGACCTCCGTCACAGAGACAGAGACTTCAACACACACACACACATACACACAAACTGTGGCGGAAAAGATATGACTTACTGGAATAAACAGAGTAAACATGAGTCTGTGCTGTGACATCATTTACACAAAGCGCCTCTGGAGAAAAGTCCTGGAACGGTCAGAGTGGTCATACATGTGTTCTTCAACAGCTACAAACAACTGGAGTGTTTTTTCAAGAACATCAACGTTACCTTAGAAACTGAGTTCAATAGCTCACAACACAATGAAAAGGAATGGAAGAATGTGTAAGGGGTGTGTGTGTGTATTTGTTTGTGTGCTCATAATTTTTTAAAGGTTATACACACACACACACACACACACACACACACAGTACTGTGCAAAAGTCTAATATGCTAATATGATAATATGCTGCATCTAAGCATATTATCTCAGTTTTTCTTGACAGTAAGGCCCAATCCCATTTCACCCCTTGCCCCTACCACTTAGCCCTTAGTTCTCTTTTTTGCACGTTCACATCTAGGGTTAGAGTGTCCCAATTTTTGTTGAGATAGAGGGGTAGGGCGAAGTGTTAGGGCTACATGGCCTTCCAAACAGAGGTTTTTCAGAGGCACACTCCAAACAGAGTGTTATGAGAAAAAAAAGAAAAACCGGCAAGATGGCTGCGCGAGCAACCAAAGAAACCCACAAATGTAAGTATTTTCTCTGTTAAAAAAATCACGATAACCATTGTATTATCATGTCGTTTCAATGTATTATGGTCATTTTCTTCATAACAAGCATAAAAAAATCGCTAATAGCATGCTCTCGGTAGCTAGCTAGCTAGCTAACTTTCCCGTTCCACCTTAAATAGTCCAGCAGTAT